AAGACCTTTTAGAGATTTAGAGATTTCTCTCTTTGCTACACTACTCATTTTGTTTATGCATTATTTTCCTGATTTTGTTGAGTTATCTATCCATTCTCTTGTAACCTGATGAGATTCCTTAAAAAAATTAATTTGAATTAGTTACCAGGAAATTTGTAGATCCATTTGGGGGTCAGGTACTACAAAATTATGTTCCTTTGGTGACATCATGTTTCCTTGATTTTTCATGTTTCTTGAAGTGCTGCATTGCTGTCTTCACATTTGATGAAATAATCTCCTTCCCTAGTCATTGCTGACTGGTTGGCTTTGGGAGAGAAACACTTCAGCAGTCAGCCCAGCTAAGAATTCTGGGGCTCTCTCAGACACTTTCTATGGATGCACCCACTTCACATCTTTTGCTCCTTCCTGGAGGGGGGGGGGATTTTTATTATTGTATGCCTTCTCTTCACCTTGCAAAACTAGACTGGGTGCTGAGAGCCTCCCTTTGTTTTCTCTAAGATGTGCCCTGAAATTCTCTAATTTGTGTGCATTCTCCAAATCCTGGAGAGTTGGGCTGGCTCTCTGAGCATGCCTGAGAGCCATTTGTAAGGGCTTGTACTCTCTCTTCACAGGAAAGCACATGGGGAGCCACCACAGGGAGTGGGGAAGTGTGAGGTACAAAGAGGACTGGGCATGTTTCTTAATCTGTTTGGGTTGTTATAAAGAAATACATAAGGCTGAGTAATTTATAAGAAAAAGAGGTTTATTTAGCTCATAGGTCTGCAGGCTATACAAAAAGCAAGGAACCAGCATCTGCTTCTGGTGAGGGACTTAGGCTACTTGCACACATGGCAGAAGACAAAGGATCCAGTGTGTGCAGATCACATGGTGAGAGGGAAGGCAAGAGAGAGAAGAGAAGGTGCCAAGATGTTTTCAATGACCAGTTCCTATAGGAACTAAGTGAAAACTCACTCACTGTTTTCAGAATGGCACTATTCATGAAGGATCTGCCTTACAATCTAAACACCATCTATCAGGCCCCACCTCCAACACTGGGGATCCAATTTCAACATGAGACTTTGTGGGGCCAAACAAACCATATCCAAACCATAACAGGATACTCCTGTGTCAGTTGAGGGTTAGAACATCCCAAACTTGTAGCTGGTTTTCCTGATGAAATCCATAAGGTGGGTAATATGATTTGGAGATCTTTGTTGAAATCTGAGCCTCAGATGCCATGAGTCTCCACCTCTTTTTCCTGCTCCCAGCTTTCCACAGCCACTTAGCCAGTCTGATCACCTCAGGATTCTCAATGAGTTTCTATGGAGAGATGATGTTGGAAACCTATTCTGCCATCTTGCTGGCATCAATCCCTGCATATTTAATCTTCTGATTAAATATTTAATCTTCTGATGCTAAAATGATATATATTTTCTACTTACTAAGATAAAATAATTAAGTGTATTAAGAAATAGTGACAGTAGTTGGAAACAGCAGTTTGTGTGAAAACAAAGCATGAGATTTACAATTAAATTTATTGCAGCTCATTGATATACTAGCCAGTGATATTGGTCTATTTATCTAACCTTCTAAAACCTGAGTAGATACAGTTTGTGACAAGATACTTAGCATGCTTATGGAGGACTGTTAATAAATACAAAGCATCTGAAACATTATGCCTATGCTTAAGAATCTTACCCAATGGTATTGCATCCCAAAATAAGGTTAGTATAAGTCTCTAATTCTGAAAGTATTAAATGACAATTGAAATAATTTTAAAATAGCTAATGAAAAGCTTTATGGCCATAAAAATTTGAAAATTTTGTTTTAAAAATTGAATTTTTAAACAAATAAATTTTTATTTCAGGCTTTGAGTATGTTCATTATATAGTCTGCAAAATAGTCTCAACAAGGTATAAATTTGTAGTTAATTCTAATTTGATTCTAAACTATTTAACAGCCTTTAATCTAATCTAAATCAATTATGCTGACCATGTACTATAAAATAATGCCAAAAACTTTCCAATTATATGTCGTGTCACTTTGGGGAAATACAAATGATACTTAGCAGAAATGAATATCATCCTTTGGTGCATTAAGTAAAATTATTTTACTCAAATAAAACCAAAATAAACTAATTTCCAGAATTATATGATATAATGTGTCAAGAACTTTTAAATTAGCATACTCTTTAAGACAGAAAATCAAATTTTAAATGAGAAAAAAACTGTATATTAATATTGTGCACATTTTGCAAATATTAAAAATTGATCAGGATGGATAAACATCTGGCAAGATGCCCACTGTTTCATGCATTTCTACTTAGGTTCTACTGATGGTGGATTCAGGAGGTATGAGTAAAATGTTTATGCTGGGATTTCAAACCACTGTAGCACTTAATAATTAATTGGTGTTGACAAAATGGTGTCAGAAAAAACAAAAAAACAGAACAAATATCTTTTGTTCAAATCCCAGACCCATTAAATCTTTCAGACAGATCTTCCTTTGTGGAAAATTTATAAATCCCATGTTCCCTTTTAAAACAGTAGGTGTCCCTTATATGAGCCATAACTCTTGCATAATTGGGTGTTCTAGGACTCTTTCCAAATTTTCTACAATAGGTCTAATTTTTCAAGAACACATCTGTCATAAGTTAAAAAAAAATCTGGAACAATTAACCAAGAGAGCTAAATCATGTGATTTATGCAGTGAAAATAATTTGACTACAGAATCCTTAACACATGGTGCATTTCTGGGGTGGAGGAGGGAGGACGGTATTGTATTATTTTAAATTTTCATCCATTTTTGAAAATATTAGACATGGCATAATTTCTACCAGTCTTTTCCTCATTTATTTATGAAAATTTATTTATGATGGCATAGATGGTTCTGGATGTAAATTCTGAACAGTATAAAGTCCTTATTCTTGATGTAGTTTAAAACAATCACTCAAAAATTTAGATAGAAAGATATAATATAAATTCCAAATAGTTTCTATGAAAATACCACATACATCATTACTTCTAATTTGCTGCTTGTTATTATTCCTACATCATTATTATGTTGTTATAGCCATTGTTTGTGGGCTTGCATTTCCTCTCAAAATGGTAGTTTCAAGAAAGAAAAAAAAATCTTGTTCCCAGGTCACTATTTCAAAATTCAGTAATATATTCATCAAATTTCAAGTATTTGAAAGAAAAATGTTATTAGTTACTTCAACATTCTTCAAATATATATTAAATTGCCACTATAAAATGACTATAAGAATATGTACACCTATGTCTGATGTAGCCAATATGCATCAAATATGAAATAATTACAAACTACCATAAGTATAATGGAGGTGAGTGTCTTGAGGTGAATCTAATTTAGTTCTAAGTCTTCCTTAAAGAAATGTCATTTGAGCTGGGAAGCTTAAAAAGGAACTAGAAATATAGAGAATAATAGAGAGAGATGAGCATATTTCAAGTACATGCTAATCCTATAAGGCAGGAAGGAAACTGGAGTTGAAAGTCATTGTCTGAAGCCCAGTACAGAGGAGGCACAAATGCATAATGAGGTAAGAAAATGGAAAGAATCCTCATTACTTAGGAAAACATGGGCCATGCAAAGTACATTGTCCTTTATTAAAACATAAAAGAGAATACAATGCACAGTTTTATATAAGGGAATTATATGATCAGCTTTGCTTTTTAGCAGTTCTTTTTCCTTTACGGGTTCACAGGGTTTACAAAGGGGTCAAGGTTAATGAAGGAATATAAATTGGTAGAGTGTAACAGATGACCATAAAGGAGAAAAGTAAAAGACTAGATGTATTAATATTTAGAAGTAAAAGTAAGCTTAATTGCTGTTGAATTATAGCACATAAGAGAAAAGAAAATATAACAATTGACTCAAAGGAATATGGATAAAGCAATTGCATGGACTGTAGTACAGAAAAATAAAAATTCAAGAATTTGTAACAAAAGTATAATTGCAAAGTAAACAAAAGGAGTTAGAGGTTCTAATAGAAGAATGATATTACACTGATAGACACTCATCCTAAACAGTATACAGTTGCTTCCTGAACAACATGGGTTTGGACTGTGTGTATCCACTCATACACAGATTTTCTTCTACCGCTGCCACCTATGAGATAGCAAGGCCATTTTCTTTTTTCTCCTCTTCGTGTGGGCTTTTAAATAAGATTTTCTTTTCTCTACCTTACCTTATTGTAAGAATACAAGTATACAATATATAAAACATACAAAATATGTTAATTGACTGTTTATGTTACCAGTAAGGCTTTTGGTCAATAGTATTCTATTAGTTGTTAAGTTTTTGGAGAGTCAAAAGCTATACACAGATATTCAATTGTGTGGTGGGTCAGCACCCCATCATGCCCCCTTGTTGTTCAAGGGCCAACTGTACTCATCTGCTTGGAAAGTTTCCATTTTCAGAACATCTATTTAAATGGAAATACAGATCTTAAGGCAACATCATTAAATAATGTTCCTTGTCTAAAATTTGATATATATTGTACAATATATTAAGGAATTTTATTATGTGAGACTATATAAAAAAGACCTGAATAAATAATAGAAGTCAAAAATAAACAATATTACTAGCAAAGAGAAAGTTAACATTTCAGATAGAGTAAAACAAAAATATAATAGGAAAATACTATGAAACATTTTATACATTTTAACTCTAGAAAAAATAAAACTAAAATCCAATAAAATATAAATTACTGAAATTATCCAGCCAAAATAAAAAACTCTAATATACTTTTAAAAATGTAATATTTAATCAAAATCCTTTCCCCATACCTTCCTACTTTATTAGCAAGATCAAGAAAACATATAAGCAAAGTGTTGAACATTGAAGTGTTTAAGTGTTGAACATTTTATTAAGTTTTAAAAGCTTTACATTTGTGACACACTAAGTTATAGGAGTGCTCAATAAGTTATCCTTGAGTGATTGGTGGTTGGTATAGAAGTCGTGGAGCTTTGTTAGTTTTTTGTGATGCGTTTATAAATTCATTATCTTGGTCCAGCAGTTGGTCCCACGAGTTCTTCTATCAGAAGACACAGGTTTTCCTTCTCAGATAGTTTCTCTGCTGCCATTCCAGCAGGGGCAGCTGCAGTTTCACTTTTCCCAAATTGATTGAAAACTATGTGGTCGTCCTCCCATTTCTGGAGAATGTAAGCGAAGACGTCGAGGATGATGAGAACGATTTTAACATCTGGGACAGTGAGCAGATTCACCAGTGGCTTCCAAGACTCCAGAGTGGACAAGCTGGATCAGCTGATCCAAGTTGGCCCCAATTGTGAAGTTAGCCACCGTCCAGACAGCCTCTTTCTGGACTTTAAATTCTCCATTTTTCAGTAGAGCTACCAAGGGAGGTAGGATGTCGTGAGCAATCAGCTGCTGGATGTGCTGGCGCGGCCTCGCAGCCACGTTGCTCAGGGCCCAGGCCGCCTCCTTCTGGATGGCGGGCCTGGCATGCTTCAGGAGCTGGGGTAGCACCTTCAGCATGCCCGCGTCGATGGCCATCTGGGTCTGCTGATCTGTTCCCGTGAGGATGTTCCCCACGGTGCGGAGAGAGGGGGTCAAGACACTGAGTTCAGAGCTGGTCATGAGCTCTACCAGCCTGGGCAGGACCCCGGAGTTGACTACTTGGCTGATGCGCTCGTTGCTGCCATCGGTGAGGTAGGACAGGGCCCAGCAGGTGTCCAACAGAATCTCGCTGTCTTGGTGTGGTATGGTTGACGAAATCAGGGCCAGCAAATGTGGGATGGCATTGCTTGAGATAAAATTCAAAATTTCAATACTGTACATACTTTTACATAGATTTGAAAAGGAGCATTTCACTAAAGGTAATATTACATTTAAACAAACAAACTAAAAAAAACAGGCAAGAAATCTATGCAACAAGAAAATTATAGGTTAATCATGAGCATAAATGGAAAAATCCCAATCTAAATAGGAAAAGGTTATTCCTGCAATGAATCAAAATGCCTCTCTCTCTCTCTCTCTCTCTCTCTCTCTCTCTCTTACACACACAGACACATGCACATACTGGAGAGCAATCATGTGTCCATCTATTGCCTTAAAAAATATAAGGCAGGGACTCATGAAAGAAAAAAACAAATATCATCCGTGGAAGTTGGCTTCCTCTCAAGAAGACTTAATTTTGTCCACTGGCAAGCTAGTTGGCTGTAAATAATGGAAGAAAAAATATACCCTGTTGTAGACCAAAACAGTTATCATGGAAGCCAACTGCTGTTATTTATGGCTCTTCCAAGAAACGAAGTAATTTTAGCTCTTCCTGAACCTATTATGTTTATCTCTGGGTAAGAAGCATTGTTTTTTATGGAACATCCTGATTAGTTAAGCCAGGCCTACCCCATTTCCATTATTATATTAATATTTCCTAACTCTCTCTTATAGGAGCTATATCACCTATGAAGGTTTAAGTCTTTTGTTGATGCACTATTATCAGTTGACTGTCAGCTTATATTTACAATTATGCTGAAACTTTTTATTGCCTGCATATCAGATAGTGAAAGAAGGCAAAAAGAAAGAAAAGGAAAATCATTAATGTCATATCATTAATGTCATATAAGTTTTGGAAAAAACTTTGCTCTCAGTTTCCATTTGCACTGGGCCTAATCAAGGTAATGCTCGTTTGTACTATAATGCTGTGTTTTTTCCCTTGATTGATATTTTCACTTATATGTTTAAGCAGAAACAATTATATATTTATACTTTGCATAGGCTAGCCAATACAGATTCAAGAACATTTTAATTATCTAAGTATATTTTAACCAATAAATTTATGCTGTTAATATATTTAAAATTTGAGCTGTTTTATTTACTATTTGGGGGATAATCATGGATAAACTGCAGATCAATACATTAGTGCAGAATAAAAATCATTTTATAAGTCAAGAAATGTATTATCTTCAATTATATCTGGTACCTTACCACATCAGACTGTTTATGAAATATGAGCAAGTGAAGGATTTTTTGAACACTGACGTTGCAATAGCAATATGTGTCCAAAGCATTATGTCTAAAAAACCAATGTGCATACTCATTCAACCCAGTGAATGGACTACCTATTTAATGGGAGAAAATATTTTCAAACTATTCAACCAAAAAGAGATTAATATTAATGTAGATAGTATAAAAGAAACTCAACAATTCAATAGCAAAATAAACAATTCCATTACAAAGTGGGCAAAGGACATAAATAAACATTTCTCAAAAGAAAACATACAAATGAATTATATACCAACAAGTATATAAAAATGCTAATATCAATGATCGTCAGAGAAATACAAATTAAAACCACAGTGAGATATTATCTTCAGTCAAAATGGCTATGATTAAAAAGATGAAAAATAACAGATACTGGTAAGGATGTGGAGAAAAGGGGACTTGTATACACTGTTGGTGGGGATGTAAATTAGTAGAGTCACTATGAAAAACAGTATGGAAATGTCTCAAAAAAACAAAAATAGAGCTACCATGTAATCCAGCAACCCTACTATTGGGTATTCATTCATCCAAAGGAAAGAAAATAAATATATCAAGAAGATACCTATATCCCCACGTTTATCACAGCACCATTTAAAATATAAAAGATATGAAATCAACTTAAGTATCCATCAACAGACAAATGGGAAAAAATAATGTGGTATATACACACAATGAAATACTACTTTGTTATTAAAAAAAGAGTAAAATCATGTAATTTGCAGCAAAATAGATGAAATTTGTGGTCATTATATTAAATGGAATAAGCTAGACACAGAAAAACAAATAATTCATGTTTTTATTCATATATGAGAGCTAAAAAAGTTGATCATATGGAGATAGTGGAATGATAGGAACCGGGGCTGGGAAGAGTGTGTGGATAGTGGTAGGGGGATGAAGAGAGGTTGGTTAATGAGTAAAAACATACAATTAAGATAGAAGGAAAAAAAAGATCTAAGGTTGGATAGTAGAGTAGGCTGACTATAGTTAACAACAATGTATTATATATTCCAAAATAAGTAGAAGACTTGAAATATTCCTAACAGAGAAATGATAAATAATGGAGGTGATGGATATCTCAAATACCCCAACTTAATCATTATCCATTCTATGCATGTAATGCAATATCCACAAGTACCTGAAAAATGTATACAAATGTTATGTATTAATTAAAATTTTTAAAAATAGTTTATTGCTAAAAATGCTAAATATCATCCGAACCTTCAGTGAGGCATTAATTGTTTTGCTGGTGTAAAGTCTTATTTCAATGTGGATGTCTGCTGACAGATCAGGGTAGTGGTTGCTGAAGGCTGCATTGGATGTGCCATTCTTAAAATGAGACAGCATGAAAGTTGTCACCACATCAATTGACTCCTTCTTTCAGGAAAGATTTCTTTGTAGCAGGCAAGGGTGTTTGAAAGCATTTTACCAACAGTAGAACTTTTTTCAAAATTAAAGTCAATCTTCTCAAACCCTACTACTGCTTTATCAACTAAGTTTATGTAATAGTCTAAATTCTTTGTTGTTATTTCAACAATACTCACAAAGAGTAGATTCCATCTCAAGAAACTACTTTCTCTGCTTATCTGTAGGAAGAAAATCCTCATCCATTCAAGTTTGAGCATGAGATCAAAATACAGTCACATTTTAGGTTCTACTTCTAATTTTAGTCCTCTTACTATATACACATTTTACAATATTCTCAATTATTTATATAAAATATACATGTATATTATAATATTCTCAGTTATATATAAATGTACACATAAGTATATTAAATATAAATATATATATATTTTACATAACTGAGAGTAGCCAGAGAGTAGCTGCATGAGTATTCCTGAGTTAGTGTTGCAGATAAAGAGTTGGTATTATTTTGAAAAAATAGTAATCATTGCTATTATCTAGTTTCAAAGATTTTGTCTTGGTACTGACTTGATACTGACTTGGCTATAGTAATAATAATAATGCCATACAACACAATCTGAATACATTGAGTTTATCAACGTTACCTAAGTGAGCTCTCTATTTTGTAATTATTTTAATTGAGAGGAATAAATATTAATATATTTGTAAATTATTACACATCTGTTATACTTAGCATTTTAAAATTATGAAAAGATCTTATAACTGATAACTTTGAATTAGTAATATTAGTAATTTAAAACATTGCTTATAATGTAGTAGTGAGGTTGTATCAGAATTATAGGAAGCAAAGAAATCATATTTGCATACTCAGATATAGCAACTGAATGCGTCAAAAATAACCATTGTAATTACTGTTAATTATTTTATTTCAAAATAAATCAATAATAAAAATGTAATCAACTAAAATGCAAGACTATTTTAATAAATTTAAGAAATCTCGTATCTGCCGAAGGACTTTGCAAATGAATAAAGCCAAAGGCCTGTTTGCAACAAGGGTGTCAATTCTGCCAATTAACATGTGTCAAAGTTAATTCCTTTAACATTCTCTGAGACACATTACTGTAATGCCATTGATGTGTATTTAAATCTGTACGCTCTGGAAATGACACAGTTGTAATGAAATGACCTCCTTAGTATGTACATATTTGAGGAAATTTTTTTAAATGTGAGGCTTTTTTTAAATGTGTAATGGAGATTAAAAAAATCTTCATGCTGATGAGGCCATGTACATTTTTAAAAACAACCATACCATTTGCTGTGTCAAAATAACATACAGTAGCTCCTCGAATAACATAGCTTCATTCAATGTCTTTTCCTTTTAACATTGATGAGAAAAACGAATCAATTGTCAGCTAAGACCACTGTGGATGTGGAGTGTGCATGTTCTTCCCATGTCTGTATGGATCTGGGTGTTCCTCTCCGGTTTCCTCCCACAATACAAAGATGTGTACATTAGGTGAACTGATGTGTCTGAAGTGTCCCGATGTTAATTTGGGTGTGTTTGTAAGTGTGCCCTGCAATACAGTACTATCTTGTTCAGGGTGGGTTCCCACCTTGCACCCTGAGCTGCCAGCACAGGTTCTGGCCCCCCATGACCTTGCGCTGAACTAAGTGGGTTGAAAAAATTGAATTTATCAGTCAATACGAATGATTGTAAAATAAAAATTGATAAAGGATACAATAATCATCCAAATACATGACCATAAATGATGTGGTACAAAAGCACTTAGCGAGCCTGCCATATTTGTTACTATTTGTTTTTGAACTGCTCCTGATTGTAAGGAAAAGGATGTGCTCCTTACAATTTTGACTTTGCAAACATTTATTCCTTCACTGAACCCACCACCATGACTGCTGTCACTCACTGATTCACTGGAAATTGGATAATGATCTTAATTTTTAAAATTAATCTTCTTTAAATGTATGTATAACTCATATTTATTTCAATGTTTAATATTAGAAGTGCTTTGGACTTTAGAAGTTTGGTGATGTTTTTGCAAACAGAAATATGGTGCAAGAACTTAACTCTTGTTTGTATTAAATTAGCCTATGGTAAAATTGGTATTGTTATACCTAATTTTGCTTAAAGTTGCAGTTTCTAAGCACCTATATTAATGCCATTTTACTATATCTGCATATTATAATAAATCACTGTGTGATCTATACAATGAGCTATTATATTAATCAGTATAACATTCAATTTATTTGCTATCAAATAAAATAACAACCACCAAGCAAACAAGCAACAATAAAAAATAACTTTTCTGAAAATAATATTCCCTCTTTAAGCTGCTTAATATAAAGTGGAAGATGAGATTATACAATATTTCTAAGTTTTATTGAAGTTTTAATTCCCCATGAGGATTTTA